TTTATAAATATTTTGTAAATATTTTATAAATATTATGTGTCTGAGAAACAGCATTTTGTGGATACAAATTGATATTGAAATTGTAATATAATTAATTTCAGTTAAGCTTACCTAGACTACAGATTAAATTTAATCAATCAACAGAAAAATCAATTAAGTAAACAAGAAGCGCCTATCAATCAAAATCAGATGTTGGAAAAATACTTCTATATGTATTTAAATAAATCTTATCTCAGAAATATGAAAAAAATCAAGTTTAATGAATTTTGCGTTGATTAGTCATCTCAATCTCAAGTTTCAGTCAATCTCTTTAGTTTAATACAGATCTTATTAGACTTTCCTTTAACGGAAGCTTAATGCAAACCTTAATTATCTGAAAACTTAAGTATATGTAACGATTAGTTACAGTAAAAACATATGCTTATCCTGGTTTAGAATTTTCTAAAATTACAGTTTTTATATCGAAGTGACGTAATATATCTACGTCGTTTCTTTTGAAATTTTTACCGAGAGAAAAACTTCATTCTGAATTATCTAAAGTATAGCCTGTTGTATGTGCTCTTTCGTATTTCTCACGTTATCTCCTCATAATTGAGCATTGGACCTTAAGGATTTCTTGGACGTAAACGAATTTTTTATATCAATAGACAATGATTCATCCTCACGAAGCTTTTTAAGGAAAACAAGATTCATTTTATTTAATACACTGAAAAAAAAATTATTAAATTTTAATAAATATTTGTTTAAATAATACTAATTAAACATTTACTTACAATAAATAGATATTTACTCAATAAAAAAATAATATTTAAATTAGTAGTTGCTATACAAAATAAGTATATGTTTATATTTACTTTTTAAATATTTAGTTAATATTTAAGCAAATATTTATTAAAATTTAGTACAATTTTTTTCAGCGTATCAAATACCTCGCGAGGATTCAGTTTTCGAATCTTATCTCCTTATCATATGTCTCGCTCGACGTCTGAAGTAGCACCATGCTATAATTCTACTCCGTAGAAATGCAAAATTAGTAAAACACACACGTAAGGAGATGTGTTAAACATCTCCAAAACATCTAAGAATAAACTCCACATTTTGTACATATTTTTTTTTAGAAACATAACCGCCATTATTTATTTCAAGCTTATCGTAAGCTTGTTTTCGTTGAGCGAAATAAAGAATGGCATGTTCAATTCAGAACGCGAAAAATTCCTGAAATGTACGCGCATGGGATCAAATAAATTACGCAATTTTTTAACGTACCGCTAAATGCGGCGGGATAAGATAGGTAAATGCGATAAGTGTTAATGCGAGGAACGGTACTCGATTCTAAACACTCGTTTGCGGGCAACTAATTACTGCAGAAATAAGCTTCTGGAGCATTAACAGGTGTAGTTGCTACAGCACGTGCTGCACTGCTCGGTAACTACAATCTAAGTTCTGTTGGATTTTAAACTCTGCGCGTGTCGGACAATTGCTCCACTCTGTGTGTTGTGTGAACATTGTGAACACTGTTTTATGATATTATAAAGTTCTTATCTGCACTATAAATTTTTCGTAACATTTAATTATTAAATTAATTTTATAAAAACTAATAATTTCAATAAAATTTTATTATCTGTAGATAATTTAAATAAATTAATCATTTAATACTTTTTATATAACAATTACGTAATATAGAAGTTATTCTGTAGATAAAAATTAGAATTTCTTTCCAAACAATGGAACAAACAGCAAATTGCAAAATAAATAATATTAATTGCGTTTACTTTCAATATACTTGCAAAATCAACAATTAACTTCAGTTAGAATGTAATCGATTCAGATTCTCTCAAGCGAAGGAAGAATATGTGTTATTTAACACTTTTAAAAACCAGATCTTGTTCCAGATCTTTTAGATAGTCTTGCAGCCAATGTGCAAAGTTCGTAGAAAATGCAAATCATGAGCTAATTAGAAGTACTTTCGTGGAATTTTAATAAGAAGACAATTTTAATGAGAGTATCTCTGCGGGAAACGATATAATCGTTTTCTAAACGAGATTCATGAAAAGTTGAGTTTCTGCCAAATCGATGAAATTACAATCACAATTGCATTTGTGGGAAGAAAAATGAATGTCAATTTCGATGCAGAGATAAAAAATACATTACAACGTTTTTTTTAACTTTTATTTATTTCCTAAACTTTAACAGAAATGGTTAATATTCTAACTTTTCTTTTATTTTTCTCTATTTTTGTAAAGAATCTCTTAGAATATATTAGAATTTCCTTATATTAATCAATTCTTTATTTATAAGTGATCAAAGTGAATGTATTCTCGCAGCAAATTTAGTCTTTTATAATAGTTGTCTCATTCATATATTGATTAACTCTATATAAAATATTACGAGATAAAAAAGATTATAATTTTAAAAAATCATACTTAAAAAATTATGTTTCTATATTCAAATAGGATACGCAATAATAAGATAAGAGCGTCTTCAAGTTCAAAACTTTTGTGCGAAATGTCTTTCAGGTAAGATTATTTCCGTGTTATAAATATTTCATGAATATCTAACATTGGTTATCTAGAGCATCGGAAATGAAACGTGTGCTTTTATATATAGAAGTTGTATAGAACTTCAAATATAA